TCAAATAAATAAATAAAATCTTTAAAAAAAAAAAAAGTAGGGGTGCCTGGGTGGCTCATTCAGTTAAACATCCGACTCTCTGTCTCAGCTCAAGTCTTGATCTCGGGGTTGTGAGTTCAAGCCCTGCTTGAGCCCTGCTCAGGGTAGGGCCTACCATAGAAAAATTTTAAAAAGAAAAAGTAGCACTAAGGTTGTTTGTTTGTTTTTTAATTAATTAATTAATTTGACAGAGAGAGAGAGAGCACAAGCAGGGCAAGCGGCAGCCAGAGGAAGAGGGAGAATCAGGCTCAACGCTGAGCAGGGAGCCGGATGCGGGGCTCCATCCCAGGATCCTGAGATCATGACCTGAGCTGAAGGCAGACGCTTAACCGACTGAGCCACCCAGGCGCCCCTAAGTTGTTTTTTTTTAACTGACAGATTTTCTGTAAATGTAGAATGGGTTAGCTGAGTCGCCCACTGCAGGGACCTTAATTCTTGACCCCGGTCAGCCAGCCCTGCCTGAGCACCCTGCAGGGATAGTGGGGATATTGATGGGCAGTGAGAAGACTGAGAAACCTCACGCCTTGTAGTCCCTGAACTCAGCCAGACTTACAAAATCAACTATTTAAATATAAATTATAATCAAACTTTTACTGGGTGACTATACCAAAACTAAGAATAAGAATTTCAAATAATAAATAAAACCATTTCCATGTTTTTTTAAAATGCTATTCTCCAAACATTTTCCATCTACCTTATCTTATAATTTTACTACAACTGAGCCAACCATTGGAGGCCCAAAGGTTTTTATGCAAATAATGTGCACACCTATCTTTAAAGAATGAAAGCAAAATAAGGAGATTTCCAGGCAAAGAAAGTTTTTACCAACAGAATTTAGTACAGGATATACTCTAGGAAGGAGGAACACAAAGAAGGAGACTCTAAGTCACAAAAAGCAATGGTGCATAAAGCAAATCTTGACCGCATAAAATTTGTGGGGTTAAAGAAAACAAGACAGAACTCATATCCTGGACAACCACAACAGGTGAGCTGGGTACCATATGTCAGGATTAAAGTGTTTTAAGGTCCTATGGCTCAGGGGGAACGTAAAGGCATTAACTTAGAATTTTTAAAAATATATAGAGGATAGTAATAGGTTATAACAAATTTAACTTAAAAAAAAAATCAAAAGTCTGGGGCGCCTGGGTGGCTCAGTTGGTTAAGCGACTGCCTTCGGCTCAGGTCATGATCCTAGAGTCCCGGAATCGAGTCCTGCATCGGGCTCCCTGCTCAGCAAGGATCTTGCTTCTCCCTCTGACCCTCCCCCCTCTCATGTGCTCTCTCTCTCATTCTCTCTGTCTCAAATAAATAAATAAAATCTTTAAAAAAAAAAAATCAAAAGTCTGAAGTGATATGTATATATATTTTTTAACTGGGTAGAGAAAGGGAAAGCTCTTTGTTACAGAAACAACTGACCAACTAGAAGGGACGGGGTAAATGGAATAAGTTAAAAGAAAAACAAAAAGATAGGAAAGCTCCATAGTGCTCTTTCCTTTTTCCCATTCCTCAAGATTATTCTATACTAGGCAAGGCCTAACATTTTAATACTGTTTTTCTGATTATAAGAGTAAATCATATTCACTGTACAAAATTAACGAACTACAAAAAGGAGAAAACTACACTCTGTGGATATACACCCAGCCCAGGTGTATCTGTGTGTTTCCTTTCCATTATATTTCTATTACACAGATGACAAGACTAACTTGGAGGTCATATTGTCTATACACTTGGGCAATCTGTTTATTATTTTCATTTAAAATTTTCTGAGAGTATTTTTAAGCACCACTAAAATTATTTTGAAAATGTCACTTAAAATAATTTGTAAATAATTTTGATTCTGTGCACAATTGGAAAATATAAAAGTACAAAGAATATGAAAATCATCTGAAATCTTACCACTTAAAAGCAATCAGTGTTTATCTTACGTGTATTTACCTATGGTCTAATTTATGTAGGTGTTAGGGTGAACCATTTTTTATTTTTTATTCTTTTTTTTTTTAATATTTTATTTATTTATCTGAGAGAGAGAATGGGAGACAGAGAGCATGAGAGGGGGAGGATCAGAGGGAGAAGCAGACTCCCCGCTGAGCAGGCAGCCCGATGTGGGACTCGATCCCGGGACTCCAGGATCATGACCTGAGCTGAAGGCAGTTGCTTAACCAACTGAGCCACCCAGGCGCCCCAGGGTGAACCATTTTTTAAATAATATTAAGATCATAATGCACGCACAATTTTGCTTCTTAGCATATTAACGCATTTCCTCCAAATACAAACATTTCTGATTATACCCTTAAGATAGATGCCTAAAGCAGTAGACTTATTAAGTCAGAAGGTAAAGATATTTTTAACTTTGGATAACGACATTTTAAAGGATCCTGATTACATTTTTGCAAAATTGCTGTTCATGAAATTGTTACAGTGTGCATGCCTACCAACAGATCATGAGCGTCAATCTCAGTGCTTCCTTGCTGGCACCACGTATTTTGTTGATCCTCTTAAAATCCTTACCACTTCGATTAGCAAAAATTAGTTCTTTTAAATTTGCATTTCTTGGCGACCAGCATACATTTATTGTCCATTCAGATCTCTCCTGTGAATAGTCTATGCACGTGCTTGCTCCATTTTATGACTTTCACTTGGTCCGAAGTAAATGCAGTCGTGCAAAAGGGTACTAAGCTATTATCTCCTAAATGGGGACTTGGTAACTGTTTCAGGAATGGGCCCCCAGCTGCAGTAGCTGCCTTGAGTCTGCTCTGACTTTCCTGGTCTTCTTTCTCCAACAGATAGTAACACCTAGAGGCTGAAAGAGGAGTTAAGAGGAACCACTGACTGCCTTTAGCTTTCTCTCGAGCACAGCGATTGCAAACAGAAGGCCTGCCGGCTGGATGGGCTCACTAGTGAGTTACGTTTTCATGGTATTATACCTTCAAAACTAGAATGAGTGGCTAATATATAAAAACCAGTAGTTTCACGTAGAGTCTAGATGTCCAGACAGCATGCTGAGAAGACAGCAATTCGCTGGAGCTCCCCCAGGTTCTCTGCTTTGGATGGGGCACCTGCTCTCTGGCCTCCAGAGTTCCCAGCCGACCCCCGTCATAGTCCTCCATGTCGGCCTGCCGGCCTGTTTTCTGGGCCTCCTCTAGCCCAGGCTGAAGGACTCTGTCATCTCGGGAGCAGCCTAGGGCAGGGCACAGAACACACTGGGGCTTGGGGCCTGAGTTCTGGCTCATCACCAAGGGCTTCTTTGCTTGGTCTTATCCTCTGTGGGCTTGGGGACTGGGCAGGAGTGGGGGCCACCACGGTCGGTGGCTGGGATCCTGGCCTCTTCTCAGTCCTCATGCTCTGTAGAGACACAACCCAACACTTACCTGCATAAACTCCACACTGCTGTCCAAGGGGGTTTCCTGACGGAAGAACAGAAGGAAGTTTTCATCCTCAGACAAGAACATGTTGGCAAGCTAAAGAAACAGAGAGAAATAGCCGTCAGCCACACTGGCCAGTGCACCCTGGGTAAAAGCCGCGGTGGGACATACTATAGGACAGGAGGGCTTGGATTCCTCAGGACTGAGAGCTCAGATGGCAGTTCTGGGCCCTCGACTGCCATTTTTGACTCACTGATGCTTTCAAACAGCGTTGTACTGCTACTAGGTAAGGAACACGGTGGGTATCTCTGCCTCCCACGAGTTTACGACCCAAAATCATAATCCTAATTTTAATAATAAATTTGTCAGTGCTTAATATGTTCCAGGCACTGTTTTAAGACTCTCCCGTATTAAAATAATTTAACTCTATCATATAATAGAAAATTAAAATAGTGAGTAATTCTTATATGTGCCACGAACTGTTCTAAATTCTTACAGATGCTTACTCGCTTCATCCTAACCACAACCTAGAGAGTACACAGCACACTACCATTATTACTTATTCCTTAAGGAAACTGGAGCTTGCCTCAGTTGCATGGCTAGTAAGTGGTGGCACCCGGACTAGGGCCCTACTTTCCAGCTTCCCGCCGTGCTGGGGAGATGCTGTGCACACGGTCTCTTCACGCCATGGGCACAGACAGGAGCGACTGCCGTTGGTGTCCCGAGTGTCCGCTGTTTTTCTTCTTCTGCATATCAGTGTCTCTGTGGTGCTCCCATCATTGGTCCCGGTATGATCCATTTCTCCCTCTTATCTGAGCACCACTTCTACTGATTGATGTCACTTCTCCCATGAGTAACGGTGACATTTTCTTCCCCTGCACGACTGTAACTCCCGCGTCAGCACGAGGGTGTGTTTGGCTGGGCTCATCCCATCCTACCATACTGTGGTATGGCTGGCTTGCGTTGTCCCCTGTAAAGAATGGCCATTCCTTCTGTCTCCGCGGTGAGTGCCCCGCCACAGTGAGTCCAGACAGAGGCTGTTGGTGGCTGGTTGGCATCGCGAGCCCACACGCTTACTCACTTCTCTACTTGGATGTGGGTCTGCTCGAGGACCTACCGTGTGAACGAGAGCATTCGTATTTTGAATATCATATATCGAGTAGCTACAACGTGGCAGGCACTGGCGACGTGCTTTTCATTTATGATCTCATTAAATTCTCATACCAGTCCTACTGGTAAGTATAAATACCCCCTTTTATTCATGGGAGCAGGACAGTGCAGTGTCCGTGACAGGCTTCAGGGTGGATCCAAATTCCTTCTCCATTGCTCGCCTGTTGTTTGATCTGGCACAATTTAATCGATCTCTCTGTGCCTCAGTTTCCTCACTTGTAAAACGGGCATGGTAATATTTATATCCTGGTGCTAATGTGAAGGTCAAAAGTAAAATGAGGCACTACTTACAAGCAAAATGGAGCAAAATTCCTGGTACAAATTAAACCCTCAATAAATGCTAATACCATGTTGATGAAGACCATGAACCAGAGGCTCGGGAGAAGTGACTTGGCCAAGGTCTCACATTCACTGCGTGGACTTGGCGCTGCCCCACCTCCCCCCTTTCTCGCCTCACCCCTGCCGCAGGGGTCTGGGCCGAAGTCAGCTAGAATCGGCATCTGCTCTTCAGAACGACATGCTTTTTCACATGGGGTGGCACAAGCCAAGAAACCAAATTAAAATGTGATTCAGCGGTCCTCAGCCTTTAGAACCCAGTCTGTCTTCAGCTTTGATTGGAGCGGCACAGAGGGGCCCACACAAATCAGATGCACAGATAACCCTCCAGCTTGGCTTAGGCTCTCAGTTGGGACCTCTGCCTCATCTCAGTTGTGCTAGAATATCTAAAATGTGTCCAGGTGGGCTGATTTTTATGTCTCAACAACCTGTGATTGGAGTGAGACAGAGACAGCAGGAGGATGTGGGGGGGGCCCAGCTACTCCTTAAGCTCACAGACTCCAGAGGCTTTAAGGGGCCTGGGACTGATGTAACCCGATCCCATCAGCTTGTCTACAAACAACACCTCCGTTATGTGCGTTTGTGGGACTCCATGACCGATGGTTGGCATGGTGTCAAAGTTGTTGCCGGGTTTCCAAGTGCTTCAAGAAGCTCTGCCTGTTGTTAGTAAGATAACACCATCGTTTCCAGGCACTTCCCATGCTTAATTTATTCTTTCTTAAGCCCACACATATTTACTGGGCATCGCTAAATGTTCCGCTTTGCTCTGTGGGCTGGAGAACGCAGCAGTGAACATGAGGTCATGGGTCCTTCGGTATTTCTAGCTTGAGGCTTCCACTTACTTTTCCTTGAATGGGTACACGGATTGCTTTACATCAATTATACTATAGTTGTTAGTGACATATATAATTTTTGCCTTGGAGTGAAAATTTTGGAAACGCTCATACATCTAGTGTTCTGAGAAGGCTGCTTCCTTCCTGGCAAACATGTCTACTTTTTATAAGGAGACATTATCTTGCCATATTATCATAACTTTCTGAAGAGAAAGGTACTGTGTGGGCTGAACTGAAGTGAGATAGCTGTTGTCCATTTTGTCCCAAATGATCTCCTGGGCTAGAGCTCCCCAACCTTCACTGGGACCTGATGCGGGAGTTTCAACTCATTTCTTGTTAGTCAGTTTTTCCTTATATCCAGGTTGGATTTGAACAGCACACAGCAAAGAGACACATTGGATTGAGTAACTGCAAGGCCTCCAGCATATCAACGCCCCAGTTCTAAAATAACTATAAATGTTGCTTGACTTAGGGGCGCCTGGGTGGCTCAGTCGGTTAAGCGACTGCCTTTGGCTCAGGTCATGATCCTGGAGTCCCGGGGTCGAGTCCCGCATCGGGCTCCCTGCTCGGCAGGGAGTCTGCTTC